AAAATCGTGAATTCGTTAAAAAATTATCTTTCACAGAAGTTTGGTTAGGGCCGGGGTTTTATGGACACCTTGGCGGAATATATGGCTAAGGAGACGGGGAAAGCTCGATACTCTCTTGATAAGTGCGTTTGATATAGCGTCAGTTCTCGAAGAGTGCCAGTTTTTATGCTTTTTAGTTTCTGTGGTCTGGCCAACCCCCTTTCTCTTGTTCGTTTATGTTTGTGTATAGGAATTGGATTATGAGTATGCCATGTTTTCAGATAGTATAAAATTATGGAAGATCATCAAAAGTGCGGCCGATGAAGCGGACTCCTTGGAAGGCATTTGTCGATTCAACTAGTGGTCACACAGATGGTTCCTGCCCTAAAACTCGAAAAATATACTCTGCTGGGTCTGGGAAATCAAAACCCTGTTTCTAATACGCGGCCCTGCTATCTGAACGGAATGTCACTAATCTGTTTCCGTCAGCTCATACAGAACAGAAATTATCCACTTTTTATTAATTTTTACCAGATCACTAAATTTATGATGCTGAGGCTCTCTGGGCCTTAAAAATAATTTTAAAAATATAATTTATCTCATTTGGGTGGTGGAGGTCCAGCCAGAACACGGTGAATAGTTGACGACGTAGCATCGACAGTGCATCGAAGAGCACTGCATCTGGTCGGTGATCTTGAGCATTTACCGTACCAAGCTATGTTGAAAAAGCTTGCCCTGTTCTTAGTATTCAACAGGGACTTTGGATGTGATCTGCTGTGGGCATTTGGGATTATCTGTGGCCATGCTGGCCGCTGAGACCAAAGGACTTCTTCGAGGTTGAATACGCAAATTCCCTTTGCTGTTCTCCGTACAAGATCCAAACAAACACATATGATTAGGCTCCCGAATTTTGTTCTCAAGTCAGTGAGTAGTCCGATCAAAAAACTAGCTAACAAAACAGATAGTGATGGCCAAAAACATTTCTGATATTTAAAGAGGGATTAATAGCAACGCATTTGAACAAATGATCTAAGGAGGTTGACAACGCCTAATATATGCTAAATCGATAAGCAGATTACATGAAAACTTCCAGCCAGCCTTGCTCGAGGAGAAAATGGCAAAAAGTTATTCAAGCGATCATCCACATACTTTACGAAGATCTCGATTTCAATTATTCAAATGCAAGAAATGTTAGTGCAGTCTGCATTCTTAAATTATTAAGGCTATAATTCGTTTTGTAGAACTCAAACCCTAAAGTGGGGTAAAAATTGCATGGGCAGAAAATGACCAAAGACTTCCAAGCACAATTCTGCTTTACTGCGTTGACTGCACTGATATTCTGGTAAATCAATTTTTAAAATCAAAATTTCAGGTTTCTTTTCGGGTTTCTGAAGTCCCATTTTTTGATGGCGTCCACCGGATGCTCGAAATAAAATTTTATAATGCATTTATTTTTCGTCCCCGTTTGATACCATACACTCACATGCAACATCATTTTGTCTCCTGCTTCCCTCGCTCCAGTGTTGCTTAATCCCAGAGCCGTAAATTTCTAAATTCAGCTAAGGGTTCCTAAACGTTGTGTGCATTTAATATAATTTCATTGTTTTCAGGAAAGGCGCTCTCAAAGGTTAAACAGGGTCGAACGTCTATGAATCACAATGGTTTGGCAGCTTTTGTTTTAACATGAAGATTTGTATGGTATTCTGTAGCTGATTTGACTTTCAGTGTGTGCGCGCGTTTTGGGCACATGGACATAGCAGAAAGACATTTGTTGGCGGACGTCGACTTGGGCAATCTTCTTTATGAGGATAAAGCTCCTTTTGAATCAAAAAATCTGTATGTTTTGTCTTGTTCTGGTTTATTGATTACAGTACCTCTTCCGATATTCAGGAGCTCGCACTTAGTTGTACACAAAATTTCTTGAAACAGTTTTGGAGTGTAATCTATTATTTATCATGACCTGAATCCTTTAGCTCCCAACTGAGCAAACTGATGACGTCTTGGTGACTTTGGTATGTCTTCAGAATGTTTGTCACTCCTTTAGTTACCCGAACCCCGGTATCGTCTTCCTCGAGAGAAACAAGTTGTCCCATACCAGTTTTAATTACTCTCTTTCACAGGTCCCAAAAGTTCGCGAAATAACGCGTTGGGAAAGATTTGCCCGTATAAAAGGCATAACTAAGCACAAGAAGGCCCGAAAAGTATGGGACGAGTCCAGCCAAACTTGGAAGCCCAGGTGGGGCAAGGACAGAATTGACAGTAATAAAGAAAAGTGGTGTATCGAAGTTCCGGACAATGCTGGTAAGCGTCGTTATTATTGATAATCCCTCTCTCAGATCCATACGAAGACCAGTTTGAAAAAGCTACGAAAGCGAGGAACGAGCGCAAGGCCAAAAACGAATTTTCCAGGCTTAAGAACATTGCCCGATCTACTAAAAAAGGGCAGGGTACGTCATTTTAATTCAAATTCATACATTAACGAGAGCCCCCAAACAGTGTATTCTAGTTAAAGTTCCTGCGTTACTTACCTATAGTATGAAATCAGTTTTTCCACATTTAGTATATATCGAAATAAATGTAAGCTGGATTGCTGAGATCTCTCCTAAGTCCTGTAGAAAATAGCATTGATTAATTGGACCAAGACGGTAAGTTTAACGGCAAAAATCCATTATCCTTGTCTACAAATTGCACCCCAGCCGCAGACCTTAGTAGTAGGGGAAGCTGGAGGTCTGCGTAATTGGCCGCATTAGCAGATTGGTGAATCCTTTTCATTGTTCTTGGTCAGAAGAAAGGACAACTGTTTGCGAAAATATTGGAGTAAGTAGTCCTCTTATAACCATGGTCGTTATGAGCTGACAAGCAAGGTTCCAGCACTCCTTTTAGAACAGCGTTACTCATTTTCACTTGTAAGTTTACCACTTCCACGATTAGTGATAAATCTGATGCGGATAACTTTTATTGGGTCGTCTCTGCCTTTGAAAAACCCTTTCTCCCATTTAGTCGGTTTGTTTTTGATCAACTGTCTTGCCCTTGTGCAGCTTATGATTAAGAAATATTTTGAGTCTACTAAGTATTAGCTCATTTCTGCTGCCGTGCAGCACCGGTGCTTTTGGTTAGGAGGGATCTCTTGGTTAGGGTTAGTCTATTGATTATCGTGAGGTTAGGCCAGAATGTTGGTTCCTGGGTGCGTCCTTCCGGCTGCCTGCGAAATAACATGTGAAAATGAGTATTTTCAGTATTCTTACGAATGTAAACAGTTTATACAGAGCATTCATACAACTACAGTTGCCTGTACCGATTTCACATTAAATCTCTTCTTTATTTTTTCACTCAATGACTCGATGTTTTTTTCAGGATTAAATAAGTTTTTGATTACGACATTTTTATGGCCCTGAAAGGTCCATTCAAATGGTATCCTATCGGCCTGTTAATGCTTCTCATGAAGTATGTGATGCGGTCCATATCCACTGTAACATTTGTGATCCCTATGATCTCCATAGCATGCAGGAATGTTCGAGTTTTCCTAAACGAAGAGTTTGCAGCATGTAGTTTTTGAACCCCAAGCGCGGGGGTTAAAGTCTATTCGATAACTGGGAAACAGTTTTTACTTTCAAGCTGGTTTTATTCGAGGGCAGTATAAATAATATCCAGCCCGCCTATTGCCACCTTGTGTCTTATGTGTTGAAGCACATGCCCACTTCTGTGGCATTTTACTTACTTGCGGTTACCAATTTTATGTCATCTATCCCGCTAATATCTGTACGAAGAAGTCGTTGCAACCAGAGTACCCAAAGGCAGTAAATAGACTACACAATGAATGCAGAAAATGTTGTAACAAAAACTGCTCACATAATTTCGCTTGGAAGTGTAATTTTTCTAGCCTTTGATGAGGTCTCGGGTTACACCCTTCAGGCTGTGCTCATTTCATTCTTATGTACTTTCCTCGGGGCTGGTCTGTCAGTATTCTTTA